CCCCAAAACCCCAAAACCCCAAAACCCCAAATTAATGAAAATAAGTTGAAAGATTAGATAATTGATTTAGATTCAGAATCAGATTTTTGAAGCTCAATCTCTTTGAAATCTTTTGACTTGTTGTTATCTAATGTAATTCAGAAAATATAGAAAATGCAACCATAAGCTATCATAAGCACTCCAACTGTTGTGCATACATTTCTGAGTCCAATCATTTCGGTCATATAACTTCCATATATTGGAGCCAGAGTTTGGCCGAATTGTAATGAAAAATTAAACACACCTGAGCTTAGATAATTCACATAGGCTTTGTGAGCAGGAAATGCTGTTTCAGAATCTTGTATCATGATCGTCAGAGCTCCTATAATTCAGAATATCGTGATAGCACCAATGACAGCTTGGCCGATAGCCATTATGATCAGACTGTTTGGCAAGAACTCGCTTGGACCGATAAAGAATTGGTTCACACCATTGATTGCTAGAGATATCACAATCACTCCCTTCACTCCAAATTCTCGCTTCCCAAACGTCTCCATAACTACTGAAATTCCAAGACTGCTCACAATCAAATAACTAACAGGGCCAATCATGAAGAAGAAAGAGATAATCTCTTCGCCTAGCTCAAACTCCTTCAGACGTAGTGGCATCATTGGCTGGAAATATGCGAATGAGAAGTAAGCTAAAAGAAAGTTAGAACCCAGAGAGGTGGAAACTTACAAAGAACACCTCAGAGAGTGCATAAGGTGAAAGTCTTCCGCAGAAATAATTTAGTGTACGTCGGAGTGCTTGGAGATGTGTCCTGTAGTAGCTGAGAACTAAGAGAAAGTTGTTGGTGGTCAGGCTCAAGGGCTTCAAGGCTTAGATCGTCTTCTTTATCAACTGAGTTCGGAATTTGGAACCAAAGGATAGGAATCATTACTATTAATGATCAGCTGAGTATGTAGAATGTGAAACTGAACCCTACAAATGAATATAACAGGCCTCCGAATCCTGGGCCTAAAGCACATCCAAGTCCTTGAGACGCTTCAAAGTATCCAAGATATTTCTGCTTCTTTTCTTTATACGCAACAGTAATAATCGCATATGAAGTAGTTTGAATCATGCTTGAACCGAACCCTTGAAAGACTCTGGAAACAAGTCAGATGGCCACAACGAGTCTGCTATCTTGAAAGTACATGATTTGTCCGAACATTGCCATTGAAACTCCCATGATAACAATTCCGAGCAGTAGAATTCTCTTCCTACCGAACACGATCATGATTTTACCAACAATCAGAGAGCCAACCATTGAAGAAACCGCGTAGATCGAGAAGATGTAGCCAAAGGTATCTATCCAGTTCCAATGGCAAGAACGGGACAACGAGCATATAGCCTAAGTTGGCTAGCACAGACACACTTAAAACAACTATCAGATCTTTTGTCTCCATAAAATGTCTAAAATATATAATTCTATCAAAATCTTATTCCTTGGGGTTTTGGGGTTTTGGGGTTTTGGGG